ATCTGTTGTGAATGATCTGTCTAATGACTACACTGATGATGAGGATGATGATGATTATGATGCTTCAGAGCTACAGCCTCTTTCAGCACCACTTACATGTAAAATTACAAAGATGGGCAGTCAGCAGCATGAAAACATTCATGACACTGAACCTTTTGAAGAGAGTCAGACTCATCGACCAAGATGCAATGATGTGCAAAGCGCTAAAGGAAGCCATTCTCTTCCCAAGACCAACAGCCCACGAGAAAAAGAAATAAAAACCCAACTCTGCAAAAATATAGTGAAAATACTTGGGGAGACAAATTCTCTGTACAAACTGGATTCTGCAAGGCAAAATCTGACAGAACATCCTACAAATGACTCTTGCAAAGCCAACTATGAAAGCCTTCTTGCTCCAGTCCAGACTCAAATACTGGCTCATCACACCTCCCTTAAAAAACAACACAAAGAATGGGAAAAACAATATTACCTCAGCCATGACTGTTCTGAACCAGGTTTAGAAGAAGTAAGAAGAAACAAGGTGCAATACTCGGTTTACAAAAATATGCTCTTGTGTAAAGAACTTTTGAAGTACTGGAAAATAACTGTTCACCTATGAACATTAGTTTGCACAACACAGTCATGTGAACTACATTTGTGCCACTTTATTTTTTGTAAATATAGAGCCAACTTATTTTTACAAACAAATATAAGATATATATTTTAACAAATATTTTCAATGATATACATGTGTGTCAAAGAAAACTCCCATAACCGCAAGTCAGAAAATAAGTGAACAACATTTGCTTCCCAGTAAGCTTAAATCGGGAGAAAATTACTTATTTGAGGCACGCAAGGATGAAAACTCAGTCATCCACTTAATACAGTTTTTTTATGATCACATTCTGAATAAAAAAAATTATTGCCATGTCTCAAGAACTAAATCATGTTCAGCTTCGACTTCCAATACTTTTCATAGCGTCTAACTGTCTTGGTGTGTTTCTGTTGAACCCAAAGAAATTCTCTAGCTCCCTACCTTACAAGTAAATAAAACTTTTCATAAAGACACGGACAGAGGGGTAAGTAACAACGGGATCATATTCAGCTACAACAATGCGAAACAGAAAAAAACTGCCATTACAAGTATCGGATATGCATCGTCTAAAAAAGTAACATAAGCGACCCTTTAAATTAAAACGGTAATCTTTTGGATCGAGTGGGACCCGAAGAATCGGCGTGTAGTACAGTATAACTATAAAGTAATGCTTACCTTTATTTAGACAATCCACATGGGTTTTCTTCCAATCAATGATTACCAATAATAAGAGGATATAAAAAGTCGAGAGTCTGTCTTCCCGAAAAAAAAAATTACATTAACTCGGCTACGCCATCAGTATTCATTTGCAAACTGACCCACCGCACTCGTCCACCATTTTGTTTTGCTTTGCTTCAGTTCGCTGTTAGTACCCAGACTCTTTTCTCTTTCGGAGGGTCGTAGCAGCCTGGCCAAAAACAGAATTTGGCCCATGCCTTAATTTACCTGAGTAAATGCCATCTTTTCCAAAGCTGACCACTGGTTTGGTGTGAATGGTATGGCAAATATTATGCGATGGTGTTGGGAAATACTAATCGCACTTTTAGTTTTCGTGTCAAAAGCATTAAAATTTCGGTAACAGATAGCATTGATCTCCTAGGAGTGAACATTGATAAGAACAAAAAAATGATTTTGGACTTCCATATATTCAAAAGTGTACCCTCCTGATGAGGATGTAGGTTTTGCTAATATGTGTGTTCTGGAAGATGTACCACGTGAATGAATTCTGTTTGGAACAAAGGATGTTGGTGACAAGAGACTTTTAAACAAAGGGTTAATTGGAAGTGAGAACTTGGTGTCAAAAGGTTAAGGCAAAAGTGATGTTTATTTAGAATCTAAATGACCACATTAAAAATGGTGTTCAAGACACAGTGGTATCATTTCTGAATGGCCTTCCAGTTGTAGCTACTGCTTCAGAAAGCCCAAGAGTGGACAGAGCAGCATGGCCCGTTTATGATCAAGAGAATCCAACAAACATTATTGCAATAGAACCCACCTTCCCCTGAAATTGGCATGGGCAATGACTGCACAGAAGGCTCAAGGTAAACACTGGGTGCTGTGAAAGTTCATTGTGGCAAGGAATTTGCTCCAGGCAACCTATATGTTGCTTTTTCAAGGGTTGGAAGTAGAGAGCAGTTACGTGTCGCTGGCTTTGATTTCAAACGATTGAGTCCTTCTCCAAAGGTGGTGCTGAACTTCTTCAATAATTTACGCAATGTTCCTGCAGAAAAAGACCGTTTATGCTGTCGCACCAAGAGATAAACGCTGTTCCTTAGGCACTAAAGACTTTGATAAAGAATTTTTGGAGGAAGATTGATGAGGCTAAATCTCCATACCTTGCAACAATGTCAGAAGCAGAAACTGAGATTGTGAATTGTGAATTTGGCTGAATTTTCCCTTTAAAATTTTTAAAAAACTTGACGTAATCTATGCAATCACGTAGCCCAGACAGATTGCACAAGTTCACCAGTCGTTTCCATACACAGGAAAACTTCGCTATTGAGGTAAGCATTCCTAACCCTTCAATCTCTACATCTATCCTAAATAAAAACACCTAGTATGTAGATACCTTACGAGGATAAAAACAAACCAAGTTTCACTCACCCTTACTACTATAGACTACCATAATGGACACTCCAGCATGCCAAAGAGTAAAACGACCAAGAGTAGAGGTATGTAGTAGTAATTTTCAAACAAAAGGCATCCTCACATGACAAAAAGGTACATAGGGCTCAGCCAGATGGTACCATAATGGCATGGAAACGTGTGGAAACAGGCTCTTTCTCCGAAACCCCCATTCCCCATCGGTTTTATTTAATTCAGCTAACCTCCCCCTCCCTGACCTGTTTCCTTGACTGCCTTCTGAGCTCCTAATGAGACAAGGCTTTCAACCTTATGTTTAGATAGGATGTTTTTCGTTTTTAAAGATGAGCTCATCATATCTTATTTATCATTTAAACCTGGGTAACATAAGATAACAATAGTAGACATATTATCATAGGTAGGTCACTCATTTTTACAGCTATCACCAGAGGAAGAACGAGAAATTAGATCATGCCTGGCAGCCATCGAAATGGAAGAGAAAAGAAACGAAATAGAGGGAAAAGAGAATAAATTGCGGATAAAGGAAGAAGAATTAAAACTAAGAGAAAGAGAAAGCGAATTAGAGAAAAAAGAAAAAGTTAAAGGAGAAAGAAGAGAAATTAAAAGAAAAAGCAAATGAGTTAAAGAAAACCACAATGGAAGCCAAACGGGTGGCTGCCCAGCTCCAATTTATGGCCGGGCAGCTTGACCGTTTGGCTAACCAAGTACTTTCAGAAATTTCATAGTGAAGAATAAATAATGTCGGACATTAAAGAAAATTTTAAGACAGTCAGGTATAAGTTGATTTATTACATAATTAATTGTCATGATTTCACTACAACAATAAAAAACAAAATTCTTTCTGTGTAATGATTCGTATATTTTATCTCTACGAGAAATTTCGCACATCTTGTAATACCATCATATGCTTTTCCAAAAAAAATACAAAGCCCAAGTGTTGTATATTTTGTGCTGTAGTAAATAAGCAATTCGTGTATTCTCTTGTGAAGGATAAGTTATCCACTTATTGCAAGGTATGTGCCCCATCGCTGTCGTCGTCCTCCTCTTCCTCTGTTACCCCTGTCTTTAATCAATCGCTCCTCTCTCTATCACTCTATCTTGGTCCATAAATCCCCTTTCTTATAACAGCAATCCTATATCTTGAAGCATTGGTTTTCCTATACATCCCTCTTGTTTCCTTTTTTTTTGCACAGGCAGCTGAATTAAAATCAGTAAATAATGTTATTATAGGTTCTAAATACATATTTCCCCTTATTCTCCTGAGTTACAAGTTACCAAATATTGCATCCCTCTAATTCTCTCTTTTGCTTAGGCAACTGAATTAAAATAAAAAATAGTGTTGTTAAAAGTTCTTATTACCCAGTCTCCTTAAATCCCCTAAATTAACAAATATTGCCACCCTGTCCCCACCCCCCAAAAAATAAACTCCTTATAACCGAGCAGTCTAAGATCAGAAAATATAATAAACCCCGTAAGACCAAGCAGTTTAATAAGCTCCATACAGCCATGAAAACAATCTAAAATTGATTTCTATTCGTGCCAAAACAATGACAAGGGTACATAATGGATACTGCAATGAACCACCATACAGCCTTGCGGCAACAGAGATTTTTACTAAGCTACACCTGTTGTTGGCTACCTCGTGCC